CTCTCAAACAATAAAAGAACTGCCATGGGTGTATATGTTTTAGTTTTGTAACTTGCAACTATACTGTAGCCTTTTGTTGTTATTGTTGTTTTATAGTCTTTAGGGTTTTCTATAGATAGTGTCATGTTCAGAGTCACTAATTTATATTAAGTGCTAATCTTAATTTTCTATGACTCTGACAAGACTATAAATTTTATTGGAGGTGGGGGGGGCTGTTTTGCATGGCAGTAGGTGTCATCATAAACTTTGAAGAAGGGATACTTAGGAAGTCTGTTCAAAGTTAACATGACAACTAACCCAAACAACAAAAACAAACACTGTCCTCCCGTTGTTCATCGATTTTGCTCGAGTGGGCCCAGTAACGTCTCCATTTTGAGACTTCTTGTTACTGTGTTTGGCATACGAATATAAATAATAGGGCTGGAGCTATAGCACAGCGGGTAGGGCATTTGCCTTGCACGCATCCGATCCAGGTTCGATTCCCAGCATCCCATATGGTCCCCTGAGCACCATCAGGGGTAATTCCTGAATGCAGAGCCAGGTGTAATCCCTGTGCATCACCGGGTGTGACCCCAAAAAGCAAAAATTAATAATGCTGTAATGCAGATAGAAAATGACAGTTAGTTGAAAGATAAACACAAATTTTAATTTTATGGATGGTGTGAATGACAGAGTACCTAAATTGCCTAAGTTTTCTAGGATTTAGATTTAGACAATTGAGATAAATAAGAAAAACAGAATGAGATACTGCAGAAATGAATTCAATTAATCACATCTTGAGTCAGGTTTTTATCGGTCTGTCTTTCACTAGAAATTTTGAAAGAAATTTTGAAACAGGAATCTGGAATAGTTACATTGGTGGGGGGGGAGGGGGGTGAATGGGGGAACCTCCCAAACAGCATTTGCAGGAGGAGAATCATGGGACTATTTGGACCGTGGTTGGGAAGATACTCAGTAACCACTGGGCTCAATGCTAGGACCCAAGGATGCAATGATGCTTGAGCCCTGAAGTGAGGACCATCAGGGTCACCTCTACAGTGTTGGAGGTCACCAGCACCATACCCAGTGGTGCTCAGGGAATTTACAGTGCTATACCTAGAGATTGGGTGGAGGTATGTAGTGTCAAGAACTGAACCAGGAATAGTACCATTCTCTGCTATCTCCTATGCTATCTCTCCAGCCCTATGCATCCAAGTAGGAGTCCTAGGAGGGGAAAATAAAGAAAAATATAATTTGTGAGGGCTGGAGTGATGGCACAGTGGTAGGGCGTTTTGCCTTGCACGCAGCCAACATGGCCGACCCGAGTTCAATTCTTCTGCCCCTCTCGGAGAGCCCGGCAAGCTACCCAGAGTATCGTGCCCGCACGGCAGAGCCTGGCAAGCTACCTGTGATGTATTCGATATGCCAAACACAGTAACAACTAAGTCTCCAATGGAGACGTTACTGGGCCCGCTCGAGCAAATCGATGAACAACGGGAGGACAGTGACAGTGATAATTTGTGAAATAACAAGTGTAAGAATAGTTGGTCCCTGGAAACTATGAGAAAATATGGGAGAATGGAATCAAGGTAAACAAATCACAATGTTTACAATGTTTACAATAAAGAGTCTAGTCAAGGAGGGGGCTGGAGAGATAGCATAGTGGGTAGGGTGTTTGCCTTGCACACAGCCAACCTGGGTTCGATTCTCAGCATCCATCCCATATAGTCCCCTGAGCACCAGCAGAAGTAATTCCTGAGTGCAGCGTCAGGAGTGACGCCTGTGCATCACCAGATCTGACCCAAAAAGCAAAATAAAAAGTCTGGTCAAGGAGTCAGAGAGATAGTATGCAGCAGACCCTGGTTCAAGTCCCAGCACTATATGTGGTCTCCAAGTCACTCCTGAGCACAGCGCTAGAAATAGCTCCTGAGCAAGCAGAGTATAACCTAACCACTCCTCACCCACCAACATGTCTAGTCAAGAATATTCAAAACAGCATGTTAAGGTTTGGGCTGGAGCGATAGCACAGCGGTAGGGTGTTTGCCTTGCACGCAGCCAGCCGGCCGGCCGAGCTGGGTTCGATTCCTCCACTCCTCTCCGTGAGCCCGGCAAGCTACCAAGAAGAGTATTCAATATGCTTTCAGCTGTGGCCCCAACCAATGGAGCTGCAGGCTGCTCTGTGCTAAGTTCTGAGTGTAAACTTCCTTTTGTGTCCCCTGTAGTTGTCCTTTGCTAACATCATGAGGAAGATGCGAAAATTCTGGTGGAATTATCCTGCCCAAACAAGAAACAGACGGCAATCGCACAGTTTTCCTGAATTTAATCTTTGGATTTTCTTCCAAGAAGAGGTTAATGTAAAGCCGTTTGCTCGAAATTGCCTGGTTTATTCAAAATAAACTCAAAAGGTCTGATTTTTTTAAAAAAAAAAATCAAGCTGTGGAGGTCCTGTACAGAGGCATGAGGATCGCCTCATAAAATCAAGTTACTGGGGCTGAAGCACAGCGGGTAGGGTGTTTGCCTTGCACGCAGCCAACCAGGGTTCGATTCCCAGCATCCCACTTCGTCCCCCAAGCACCGCCAGGAGTAATTCCTGAGTGCAGAGTCAGGAGTAACCCCCGTGCATCGCCATGTATGACCCAAAAAGCAAAAAAATAAAAAAATCAGCACAAGCTTCTCAAGTCTTGCGCTCGCTCTCCCACATCTACACTCCCACAGTTCCTGCTTCTCAGCCTTGGACACGCATCTCTGTGGTAACTGCCACCCCAGCACCCACCCCCACAGCCGCTCCTTGCCTTGGGCCTGCTGGGCGCTGGGCGCAGGGCACCGGGAGCTGCTGCCGCTGCTGCTGCTGCTGCGGTCAGCGACGGCGCCGGAGGTGTCCCGACCGATGAAGCCCGAGGCCGGGACGGAAGGGCGACTCTGAGGAGTCTCCTGGACTCCGTGATGATAAAGGGGATCCTGCTGCCGGCCCTCGACCAGTGACGGGGTGGCCACAAGACCCGCAGGCGAGGTGGATGACATGGCAGGCCTCAGCTTCCTCACAGACCGTCAGCGGCACAGGCGTGATGTGTCCGAGCGCAACCGAAGGCGCGAAGCAGGGAAGACACGCGGGAAGACAGTGCGCAGGCGCAATGCACGGCACAGCGCATGCGCACTGGGGCCCTGTCGGATCCATCATTCCATCAAGCCAAACATGGGACTTGACTCACCATTTCCTATCACTCCTGCTCCCACTGGACTTGGCATCGCGCTCGATCTGAGAGCTGAATTTAGCACATCTAATATAGACATCTGCCTGAATTTTTCCAGGTCTACCAATGTCTGGACAGCACACTTGTCTTGTGCACAGCCAACCTAGATTCAACGCCCAACATGCCAGATGGCCCCCCGAACCCTACCAGGAGTGATGCCTGAGCAGAGCCGGAAGCATCAGCAGTTATGGACCAAAAGCCTGTATTAAAAAATTAAAGCCCTATGGACCAGAGCAACAGCACAGTGGGGTTAGGACCTTACATGCGGCCGACCTGGGTTCGATTCCGGATATAGCATATGGTTTTCCACGCACCACCAGGGCTGATTCCTGAGTGTTGTCAGGAGTAACTGCTTAAAATACCCAATAGCTGGGTGTGCCCCACAAAGCCCTATTATGTTAATAGAAATCTGGGAGAGAGAGGGGGCCTGGGTAAACTTTACCAGCAATGCTGTGAACATTATATTATTTATTTTCATTTAATTTAACAGCTCTTTATAAACTTACTGTTAGCTCATATTTGATACTTGATAGAAAATTGCTCACCCATTTCACTAGTGGTTCTACTTCAGACACTACCGAACTTTGATCCAACAAACCATTCCTCCCCCAGCCCATGGTAATCAAGTAATCTTTCAAATTAGTTGCCTGATGCTAGTAACTTTGACTCTAACCACTCATTTTCATTAGAGTATTAAAATAATAATCAACAGCCAGGGATGTGGTAAGCTACATGGCTTGCTGCAGCACTAAACTCATTCTATTTGTGGTATAACCCAGAAACCCCAGAGCTGTCAAGAACTAAGAGGGGCAACCAGTTAACTCTCAGCCTACCTTAGGTGGCAGCTTTTTGCTGATCTACTTCCTGAAGCCCCTGGAAATTCATGGTGAGAAATAGCATTTTGATTAGGTCAATTAACTTAAACCTCCACCAATGGGGATGGAGCAGGTAGAGACAGGTAGGGTATTTGCCTTGCAAGTGGCTGACCAGGGTTCTAGGTTTTGGTCTGATGCAAAAAGCAAAAAAACCCAAAACAAAAACCTCCACTAAGGAAAACTACTCATATAAAAGATCTTATTGGGGTGCCAAAGAAATATTACTGGGGAAAATACAAACTTTTGTTGGGGGGCGGGGGCCACACCCAGTAGTGCTCAGAATCTAATCCCACCTTCACATTTGGATCACTCCTGACATGCTCACAAGACAATGAAATACCAGGGATCAAACCCATATGCAAGGCAAGCACCCTACCGGCTGCACCACTGTGCCAGGTCCTTCAGTGGATGTTACATGTGTATCAACTGAAAAATGAGAACTCAACAGTGATAGTTTATTAGCATAACTTGAAATTATAAATCATTACAAATTATTGCAATGTAGATGATCCCTACCTTTACTGCTCTGACCAGCAATGACATTAAAGCCACAAGCATATCCCAATTCTCAATGCATCTCTTAGATCATTATTCAGTTATAATTATCTTCATTAGCAAAAGGATTTCATATTAAACCTCTAAAGAGTGAATATAGAAAAAAAATCAAGTGCTAGACCAGTAGTTTTTGTTTTGGGGCCACACCCCAAGATGCTCAGGGATCACACCTGATGGAGCTTGAGGGACCATATGGTGTGCCAAGGATAAAAACAAGCGTGGTTGGTAGCACCCACCATACTACTGCTCCAGCCAACACTTCAACAGTTGTGGAGACAACACACAAATAGCACAGAAGTATAAAGTAATGTACTCAGAATAACAATTCAAAAGAAAAATCTACAGTTGAAGATAGTCTTTTATTTTACAATATGTATAATTATAATTTATTAAGATCAACACAATCCTATACAAAATATTAACATAGTAGTTATGTTTGATAAGCACTTCTTAAATACATAACAATTATTAATATGGGAAAAGTATATTGAGCAACTCTTGCACTAAGTATCTAGCTCACTAATTCAGGCTGAACATTTACTCTCCGAAGCACTTCTTCTGGCATACAGAAAACAGGACTAACAGGTTTAATTTGTTCTTCTCCCAAAAGTGATAATCCAGCAATTCCAAATAAAGTATGAAAAGGATCCACCTATTCAAGAAAGAATTGCAATATTAACCACTACAAATTATTAAAGAATAGTTTTAAATAAAAGTCCTGCTTCTGAAACAATTATACTGGAGTCAAGTGACAAGTTTTCTGATAAAGCCCAATGCTCCAAATCATTACACTGGATAGCCCTTTAAACATATACAAAATGCTTTTAGTTCTTAGCCAATTTGCGGTGAAACTTCTGTAGGCTTTTTAAAATAGCCTTAATATATTCTCAAATAATACCTCAAAATGCATCATGCTGCTTTCAAAGAAACACTGTATATAATATACTTACCATATCTCCAGGCCTATCTGCAAATCCTCCTGTTTCTTCATCTTGGCATGCTAAGATGAAAGTTCGCAGCTTCTCTCTATCAATCCAATGAAGTCTCCCAATTATTTTCAGGGAAGCCAATACCCACCATGAATAACATACATCTGGTAGCTAGTAGGGGGGAAAAAAGGTAAGTTAAGGCTGTCACTCAGAATTTGAATTCTCTCTCCCCTCCCATATCTCACTACTTTCAATAAAAGCTATTTTGTTTCAGAAAGAAAGATCAGCTGACAATGCTTGAAATATACTCAGCTAGACACTTGGAATATCACAATTCACTCAAATGAGAGATAGAATCCGGAGTTCTGATCTTCGTCAACGCTCAAGAATCAGGGATGCTGTCTCATTTGCCAAGACATCAAAAATCAGATGGGCTGGACACATGAGGTTTATAGACAACCGCTGGACTAGAGCCATTACTGATTGGATTCCACGGGACATCAAAAGATCACGTGGACGCCCACCTATAAGATGGTCAGACTTCTTCGTCAAGACCCTGAATGATCGGTTTGAGGCTCTGCATGTTCCTAGAACGAACAGATACCATTGGGCTACGCTAGCACGCAACCGGGATGAACGTTACTGGCACCCGCTCGAATAAATCAATGAATAACAGGGATTCAGGGATTAAGTGATTAAGTGAGACACTCCAGACATCCACTCATCTATCTTTGCTTTGTGTGTCGAGAACACAGATTTCTCCAGAGTGGAAATATGCAAACAGGGATGGGCAAGGTGTTCAAAAAATATAGCAAATACGTGCTACAAGAGCAAACCTCAATTTTCATTTTCTATCCAGTCTATAAAGATGATCAGCTCAATCTTTTCAGACCTCAACTAGAAACAACCTCATTTCCCCATTCCCTAAACTTTCAGATATTTAGGATAGTTCAAGTGCTACCATTGTTCATACACATTTTAGGTCTAAGATGTAGCAAAACGCAGTTCAAAAGATGTCATATGTACAGCACCTGCCTTGCAAAGTTCCCCGGATCCTGCCAGGAATTTCTAATTCCTGAATGCAGAGACTGTTTATACTCTTGGGGAAGTGATTATACAAGCAAGGTGTTTGCCTTGCAACTCAACCTAGGTGTGACTCCCAGTACCCCTTATGGTCCAAAAAGCCTGCCACCAGTGATTCCTGAGCACTGCTGTGTGGGCCCAAAAGACGAAACAGGATCAAAGAAATTAAGAGTTTATGTCATATATATAAACATTTGTGTAACTTTTATGTATAGGTCTTTATCATAAGTCAAAATAAATGTAGATTTGAGAAGGAAAATTTAATTCATCATATAAAAATGGCATTATCACATTTTCCTTATATTGTACTTAGACCCTAGTTCTACTTTTTCTGTACAGTATATTTTAAAGGAGATATACCAAAAAATGTGACAGGGGAAAAATTCCTACTTTATAAGAGCCCATATTAAAGAAGGTGAAGTGATAATGACTCAAGGGTGTGGAGCTATGGAAACACAGCTTATCCTTCAATTCAATACCAACCTTCTCTGGCCTTCCATTGAGTCCACCTGATGGTAACTGCCGTTCACAAAGCCACCAACCCAGTAAGTCAGAATTTACTTGATGCAACTGACTAGTAATAGCCAGGAATCCTGTGCAACAATAGATCTAAAATTACAAACATAAAAGTAATGTGTAATTTTAAGTAAAATAGTAGTGCCAAAAGCTACTTATTAAGAACAAAATTTGCTATTGCTAAAATACTCAATGGCTAGTTCTCAAAGTTTTCAGACATCTGCACATCTGCACTTCCTCTGGCACCGAAGCACAAGCGGGATTCCCAATAGGCAGGGGCAGAGCTACTATGTCCAAAAATATGGATCAGGGCTATGGCTCAGCACTTAGCCACATGTGAATCCCAAGGTTTGTTCCCAAACAGTCACAGTACTCCCGTTCATCTATTTGCTCAAGCGGGCCCAGTAACGTCTCCATCATGAGACTTGTTACTGTTTGGCATACTGAATACGTCACGGGTAGCTTGCCCGGCTCTCTGAGAGGGGCAGAGGAATCGAACTCAGGTCGGCCACGTTGGCTGCGTGAAACACCAGATAAACTTTAAAGGAGAAATGGGGCTAGGAATGTGGCTCATTTATATAATGCATGCCTTGCAGGTAAGGTTCTGGACAATGCCAAAAAAATACAAGTATTTTGATGACAACCTATCTATAGAAGGCTAACATCATCTTTATCAAAGAAAGGTATGGGAGAGGATTCTAGGGACTGGAACATGCCTTGCATGTGGGGAGGCTCTAAGTCTGACTGTAAGTTCGACTATAGGCACAAATATATGAGGTTTGCCAAAGGCAATGTCAAAACAAGATTCCTTAAGCAGGTGGCAGTCTCAGAAGCCTTAATCAGTAATTGAGCAAATCTTACATGACATTTCAGTCATTTACCTCAAAGTTAATGGACTTGGAAACTACAATCAATAAATCTGCCACTTTCTTGTGCTGTTCATCCCTCCAAAATCAATGTTATCAGTATTATTACCTGCCCAGCATGAGACTCGGATCCCGGCCTACAACCAAAACCGCCATCAAAGTTCATACATGACAAAACAAATTCAATTGCCTTCTCCACATTAATAGCGTCCAGCTTCCCCTATGAACACAGAAAGAAGTCCACAGAATACACATAATATACATTCATAAGTAGATATTCTTCTGACACAATACTTAAAACTTACCAGTAGAGCCAAAGTTGCGACTGCACAGAAAGAAAACCTTGTATCAATTTCTCCTAAAAGGGAAGCAAACCAAAACAGGTTACCAAGGGTTGATCACACTGTTTTACTCAACTGCCTCCTAAGAGTTTATATGACATTTACTTTAAAGTAAAGTAAAAGTAAAGGCCCTCCCGTTGATCATCGATTTGCTTGAGCGGGACCAGTAACGTCTCCATTGGAGACTTTGTTGTTACTGTGTCTGGCATATCGAATACTCTCGGTAGCTTGCCGGGCTCTCCGAGAGGGGCGGAGGAATCGAACTCGGGTCGGCCATGTTGGCTGCGTGCAAGGCAGACGCCCTACCCGCTGTGCTATTGCTCCAGCCCACATTTACTTTAAAAAAACTAAAAATTACATGATACTTCATCTTTAAAATTCTTACAAAAATGCTCAGAAATGAAAAAGAAAAACTTAAAAGGACCAGTCATTTTTTAGTAAGCTACCCTATTTTAATAAATTTTCACATCCCACCAAGCAGCTGGTCTTTCTGGCCTGCACTGTATGCACAGCCCTTAAGCAGAAATTACATACATTATCAAGTAAAATGCTATTCCCTCCCTCCACTCAAACATTCAATGAGCTTGCAAAGCTTTTCAAATACTTCCCATGGGGAGTATTTCTGTAAAACTTTACAAATCCACTGAATATAGGGGGGGAACGTTCCACCTACCTTATGTTTTAGATTGGACCCTTCTGTTCCAAGTGTTACTGCATGCTGATTTAACTAAGCACAGTGCATGCTGGAACTTCCAGCAGAACAATAACTCCAGTTAGACCAGCTGCTTAGTGGGACCTGAAAAGATGAAAAACTTAAAAAAAAAAAAACTTCAAATTCCTGGCTAGTCTTCAACTCATTGCACTTATGATTTTTTTACTACAGGGTTGCTCTGAAGCAGAGCTGGAAGGCCCCCCACCCTACCACAGAACCACAGGGTTCACAGAAACAAATCCCCAAGTTAATCAAGTTGACCTAAGTAGCATAAATTAAACTGTCATTACCCCAAATGTCTCCAGCAAAAGAACCATCTTCTTTCTGTAGACTCTGAACATATTCCACAACTTTGCTTACATCAATCACGTTAATACTATCATATAGAGTAAGTATCTGTAACAAAAATACACCAGGGAGTAAGTAACCTCAACACTAGTTTCAACTATCTAGTAAAACCCCTAGGTTGCTTATACAGTAAACTTTCCTCCAATATGCAAATGCTATGCAAGTAGCAAATGCAATTTATGAGCATAAATCGTTTTCCTGCATAAATTAACTTAGCTCAATAACAATCTTCAATATACTAAACTGAACATACAAAAATAGCACTTAAACTTGGATCTGGAACTTCACCACTAACTTCAATGCATTAACCCCACCTAGAGTATGTACATAGACTAAAGACATTTTGCTACATAAAGGTCTCAGTTTAACTTTAGAATTTGCATCAATGGTTGATTCAGTTAATACATGCCTTAAACATCATTGACCTTCTAACTGTAGCACACTTCATTCCCACTCAGGGTGAAAGAACACAAAGAATGTCCAAATCTTTTAGGGTATTTACCTGGACAGCACTAAGTGTGTACAAGAGATGAGGATCGTGTCCAATACTAGCACTTATTCCACCACACTCATGTTGACATGATTTAATAAATGTTAAAATTTCTTCTCTATTCATTCGATGAAGCTGCCCCATGAGATCCATCACTGTCAGGCCCCAATAGACGCCACTCATTCTCAAATATTCCGACATACAGTATTCCTAAAATACAGAATCATTCTTCACTACAAACGGAAGTGAACACATCAGTTAAACCTAACATCCTTTTATTTCACTTGGTAATGTACCCATAGCCTATTTATAGGTGCCAAATATAGGGGGCAAAACGTTATCTTAGATGTCAATACTTTACCATTCTCTAAGAAGGTATTAAAAGCAGGAACTTACCCTTTTCTATCAGTAAAGATAAAATATTTCAGAGTAATGACTCTCAGATAATATACTTATCTATTCAGTGATAAAATAGTTGGTTAAGAGTCCAGATATCTATCTTCCCTGTCAACTTTAAATTCAGAATCAAATCTACGTCTCAGCAATGTGCTGCAAACCCAAATTTGGAGTTTCAACCCACAGTAGCACCTGTTCAGTAGCAAATAATTCATAAACATCAACTACATAGCTTCCAAGATTGCAAGCAATTCAGCTTTTTCCCTATAACTATTTACTTTCAATTATTAGGTGCTTCCTAGGTTGTAACCAACCCAAAAATAATACCTGTTACTTTTCAAGGTCTCAGCGTAATTCTAGAGCTTAAGTGTAATTACACATCAGCTTCAAATTCAGATAATACATGCCAACACATCATTGACCTTGAAATATGCAGAACCCTATGGGTTAACTATCAACAAGAAAACATACATACGTAATCATCTTTCTTTGAGCCATAAGATGCAATATAATCTGCATGCTTCTCCAATAGTAAGGTGTCTGGTGCATCCTGCTTAATAACAACATCCTTCTGTGGGGTGCCCTTGCAAAAATACAAGTGATTGCACAATATTTATCTTCTGACACAGAAAATGCATTCCACACACTTGATACTTTTGTTTTTCCATCATCCCCCGACACACTTGCCAGCCCCGCCAGATATGGCCCAAAAGCACAAACCACGGAAAAAAGGAACGCTTCGGGGGTTTTTCAGGTCTCAGAGTAATTCTAGAGCTATAGTAGGCATAATCAACTTTGGATTCAGAATACATGCCGGCTCATCATTAACCTGAAAAAGCACCACATGCACGTTGCCATTTCATCATAATTCCCTTTAATCCGCAAACTTGCCAATTCGAAACAACTTACCTCGTCACTTTTTAACTAAAATGCAAATGTCGAATCCCTTTCTCTACATCAGTCCCCTCTTCTCTGCTTCTAACCTTGCTTAGTGCGCATCCATCAAATCCGTAGCAATCAGGAAAATTCCCACCTCGAGACCACGTTAAAAATACAACTGGGTCTTGACGACTCGTCACAGGAGGAAAGTAATTCCCTCAGATCCCCTTACAGTTACTGTATCGTCCACAAGACTAAGCCTATGATTGCAAGCATTTCGCAGCATTGTAAAAAAGAAAAAAAAAAAAACCTTAAACCAAAACCACTAACTGGGGTGGTTATTTTTCCTAGAATTATGGAACCGGGCCGCTGGATCGCTGGTCTGAGGACACGCCCGATAGGCCTGCAAGAAATCTCGACCGCGAGTTCAGGAAGCAACGTTAACACTTCCCCGTTCCAGTCTTAAAAGAAACCTTCCAAAGCCCGAGTTTTAACCAATTATGCTCTGACACTTAACAACCAACCCCAGGGTAGTCAGCCGCCAGTATTAGCACACTGGCACGGCTACCGATGAGACCGAAGAGAGAACCGCGCAAAGCAGAAACGACACTCACCATGGCCGAAAGCGGAAAGAGGATCCGAACCGCTCCAGGGCCAACTTAAACCGCCATACGCATGCGCAGAAGCGTTTTTCAGGCCCCCTCTCCCGTCAAGACATAGCTGACTACACTGCGCCTGAAGGTTAAAGCTGCTTCCCTAGGACCCCGGCTACTGCCTATAGGTGTCCTCGCTGCCTGGTTCCAAGGTTTCTGCAATCCATTTTCGGGTTCTCTTGTGCCCCGAATTTCTCTACAGCCGTTTTTGAGTAATTCTTAAGAAGTCATTAAATAATGTTCTTAGTTTATCTCAGTCTCTGCTCTGGGGTTGCATATGCTGCAGAGATCGTGTGTAATTTAAAGTTTTCTTAATAGGTACCTTGAAAAAGTAAAATGAAATGTCAGAAACAGAGCTCAAAGGGCTGGTGTGAATGCCTGGCAAGGATAAGGCTCGAATTCCATTCCCAGCACCATTGGGCCACCCAAACAGTTCTGGTTGTAGTCTTGGTGGTTCCCATCACAGCCCCCTACCCACTGTATTCTGGCCTTTCACCAGAATGAAAGGTGATCAAACCCAAGTTGGCTATGTATGTGCAAGGCAAACACCTTACCTGCAGTACTATCTCTGTGGTCCCCTCTGCATTACTTCCTTGGCCTTCAAAGATGTGACTTTGGCTTCAGCTTCGGGAGGGGTTCCAGAACCATCATGACTTTTCTTGACTCACAGACTCCAGGATGTATTAAGACTATAACAATATTTAGTTTGGCTAAGTAGGATTATCCGTGTTACTAAATTAGTGTTTTGTTTCTGTTTTAGACACTGCCTATAAATTAATCTTCATTGGTGGCCATGATGGAGTTTGGTGGGTTTGTCTTTTTTTTTTTTAATGAATCCCTTGAGTGAAAGAGAACAGAATCTGGATTATTCTCCTTTGTCTGTAGGTATAAGTAGTAGTAGTTCCGAATTATAAACCTGCTGGAAGTACAGCTCTTTCATATCTAAACTGCCAAGTTTACTTTTGTATGAGGCCTTGGGTTTAATTCCTGACAAATTGGCACACACACACACACACACACACACACACACACACACACACAGGTTATTTTTGGCTTGTTGCTTAAGATCTGACATTTTAAATTTCTTAATGTGTCTTATAATGTCTATAATTGAGGAAGAACTTGACCTCTCATCATATGTCTATAAAATACTCTCCTGTTTATCAAAAGTATAAATATATTTTTGTAGAGGTGTATGGTTATGCCACTATTAATAAGCTGTGTTCTGATGGTTTATGGAAAACAATAACACTTTAAAAAATGGAACAAAAAAATAAAGAAAAATACATTTTAAAGAAAAAAAATGAAGTAGAGAAGTATAAAAGGGACTCTATCAGGTAGAAAGGGCAAATTAAAAGGGACCTATGCACATGCACAATGGTGGAGGGATATTGTCACTCTGGTGATGGATGTGGTGCAGTAACACTGGATGCCTAAAACATTATTACTAATACTACTGTAAGCCACACTACCTCAGTTCAAAATAAAATACATTTAATGGCATAGCTCACAAACTAGCGAAAAATTTAAAAGCACAACTTCTACTGATAATATTAATTAAACTCACTGAATCGCTCTGTCTTTATGGAGTCAGAAAGTACAGGGGCTAATTTGCTACCCTTGCATTCAGCCAACTCAGTACAACATATGGTTCCCTAACCATCACCAGGAATGAATTCCAGAGCACAGTGCCAGGAGTATCTTTGAGCACTTCCAAGTATGGCCCCCAAACCAAAATAATTTTTTTTAATTTCTCAAATTTTTAGAGATTAAAAAGTAAATACAAGATTAGCATACCAGCTGTCACTAGTTTACTAGCTTAAGATAAGCACATGACAAAATAAGGCTGAAAAAGCTCATACTTGAGTTATATGAGAGAGTAGTTAATCAGGTGTGTCAAATTCACTAACAAAAACATTTTTGACTTTATTATTTTTTAAAAAATTTTTATAAAGTTGCTCACAATGATCACATTCAATATTCCAACGCAAATATTACCACCATTACACCTTCCCACAACCATATTTCAAATCATTCCACCCTGATTCCCCCAAGCTTGTCCCCAAAGCAGAACACAATAATTCACTTTTTTTGGTTGTTATGAATAATCCACTAAAGATGATCCAAAATTTTTCCTTAGAGGAAAATATGTGGAGATGAGTATGAGATGTCTCCAGGAATTCTAAGATTTTAAATAGGGTGATACAGCTAGAATTAAATTTTTCACTGGATGGTGACTTTGGTGTCCAGAGGCATCTCTGCAGCGTGTTGCTCTCTTCCTCTTCTGAGGTTTATTTGTGAGTCATTAGATCATGGCCATTAATGAGCTTAAATGACACCAGAGGCAGTTCACGGGCATGGCTGCCAGGCTACTGGAACCACAGGGAGATGACTTCACGTGAGCCTGGAGATTTCGGTCACTAGTCCCTCATACCTGTGTTTTTCAGCAGATTCCCTCATGAATGAGGCTTCACCGAGACTGTGGAGATTGGCAGTGAGTGTGGAGGCAATTAAGTTCTGAAGGTTTTCAGCTGTTCAGAGCTCTTCTACATTTTTGACTTTAAATGTAACCAGCGTTTGTGAAGCTCTCCCATTAAAACTGGGACCCAGCTTACGGAGTTTCAGTCTTACTAAAAGGAAAGATTAGAAAAGCCCTTATTGCCAGGGCAGAAACCTTAGCAACTTTTATTTATTTTTTAATTAAAAAAATTAACGTAGGAGTACTGCTATTTATCCAGCCATTGATTAAGATGATTGAATTGGGCATGAACTCCACTCTTTTTTTTAAACCTTAGCAAATTTTAGAGATACCAGTAGAGATATTTTATTATAGAGGCTTTAAAAAAATGAGCATCCTTATTAATACTTTAAGAAGTTAATCCTGCTACTTGAATAATTTTACCATACTGTCCCTGGTTTTGCAAAATAAATTCTAGGAGACTTACATGGTGAAGACTTGCTGTACTAGGTAGTCAGACCAAACCTAAGGAAAACTGTCATTTAATATGCCAAACACAGTAACAACAAGTGTCACAATGGAGACGTTACTGGGCCCGCTCGAGCAAATCGATGAACAACGGGAGGACCGTGACCGTGACCGTAATAAAGAATAATTTTGACAAATTACTTAAAATTGGGCTGGAGTGATAGCACAGCAGATAGAGTGTTTGCCTTACACACAGTTGACCCGGGTTCGATTCCTCCGCCCCTCTCGGAGAGCCTGGCAAGCTACCGAGTGTATCCCGCCCACCCGGTGAAGCCCGGCAAGCTACCCATTACTCAATATGCCGAAAACAGTAACAAGTCTCACAATGGAGACGTTACTGGTGCCTGCTCAAGCAAATCGATGAACAATGGGAGGACAGTGCTACAGTGCTACTTAAAATTAGGAGAAACCCTCAGAAACATCAGGGGCCGGAGCGATATATAGCAAGTAGAGCTCTGCCCTTGCACATGGTCGACCCAGGTTCTGTCCCCAAAACCTCATATAGTCCCTCAAGCATCCAGATTTCTGAACCCAGAGTCAGGTGTAAGCCCTGAGTACCTGCACCCACTTCTTTCCTCAGTAAGAAACATTTAGGTCAGAAATGGGTTTAAGAAATTACTGAGTGTTCTCTTAGGGAACTCATAGGTATTATTTTATGGATCACCTGGGTATTACCTAAAAGATTATGTTTCTTGTGATTGTTTTTGGGCTAAGCTCTTTCACAACTCTCTGAGATCAGAAATCATTTAATGGAGAATAATAGTATGTCTCATGGTGATTCAATTAAAAAAATGAAGAGTAATAGAAATGTACCATGAACTACAACTTTTAAATGCTCTGTGGATGATTCCATTAAACATTGTTGCCCTGGAAGTTACACAATTTTTTTTTTTTTTAGAAATTGTTGCTCTTTTTATTGATCCCCATGAAGCATGTTGAAAATTAACAGACCTAATTTAGTTTTTAAGGTTTTTTTTGGGGGGGGGTCATACGAGGCAATGCACAGGGGTTACTCCTGGCTCTGCACTCAGAAATCACTCATGGGGTGCTCAGGTGCTCGGGACTATATGGTATGCTGGGAATCAAACCCGGGTCGGCCCCATGCAAGGCAAACACCCTACCCACTATGCTACCGCTCCAGTCCCCCAGAAGTTAAACAATCTTATACCAGTCGGTAAATTCTTTCCAGTGTTTCTAACTGCCAATATCTGTCCTTCAAATAGACCTTTCTACAAGTTTTATATTTGATTAGTTTCAACATTTGGTGGTGATTGGGCCACAACCAGATGTGTTTGGGGATCACTTGGTGAACAATAAGTGGAATAATATGTGGGACAATACGAGGACAGGTGATGATACTAGGGGTCAGCTAGGGCAAGGCAAGTGACTCAAGCCTTATAGTATCTCTCTGGGTCCTTGTTTCAACATCTTACAGAGTTAAGTGAAATCTCTAATATGTGTTCTCACAATTTTTCATTTTATTTTCTCACAAGTTATTCAAGTTAATTGCTGTCATTCCAGCAGCCATAATGCCACTTAATTTTTAATTGGGAGAAGGGTGCCAGGGATATCCTGATTCTCATACACGCAAAGCATATGCTGTGCCACCAGGTTACCTCATCAGGCCTTAGCCATGGACTGTTGAATAGAAAAGGAGCTTATAGGCAAAAAATAAAATTAAAAAAATTTAAAACCAATTAGCGAACTGTAAAGTATGACCAATAAAAGCTGTATAACACACCAGAAAGAAAAAAAAAGTGACTTTCTGCAGAGTCTAGTTGGGTTGATGCAGTCACATTCATTTTATATATAGTTGCATTATGAGGGGGAATAGTAAGCATGAATAGATGAGGAACATACAATAAACATATAGAAAATACTCGGGCCAGAGCAATAGTACCAAAGAAAAGGAACTTGCCTTGCATAGGACCAACCTGGGTTTGATACCTATTATCTCATATGGTCCCTGAGCACCTCCAGGAGTTAATTCTTGAGTGCAGAACCAGGAGTTACCCCTGAGCATCACTGAGTGTGGAACCCCCCACCCCCCACCATCCACCTAAAAAGAAATGCTAACAGTGCGGGGAAAAAAGAGAAATAAAAATAGAGCAATATCAGCAGGCATGTATTTTAGTACAGAAATGAGGGTAAGTGTGTAGTCTCCACTAACCAATTCTGTTCAGCTATGTATGGATCTGTGGTCTTTACTAGTACAAATGTTTTGTCTGGGTCTAATTAAAGCCAAAGGATTGTAACCATGCAGCTGCTTCTGGAAAGGGGACTGCCACATGCTGCAATGGGTTTCCAGGGCAAGCCTCTGCCACTAGAGAAAGATGTGCATTTTAAAAAGGGGGCACGAATTTTTAGTATTTTACTTGAGTATCTTGTACAAATTATTAAAAAAATTAGTAGATTCCTTAAACAATCAATATTGTTGAGGAATGGGGGATGTGGTTCAATGATAGAACATTTGCCTTGCATAAGTGAGGCCCAGGACTGTCTCATAAAAGAAATCTAAATCTGGTATGACATGAATATAACAGATCTTTTGGTTTGTTTATTTTGGGCCAAACCCGGCATTGTTCAGGATTTATTCCTGGCTTTGCACTCAGGGGATCGCTCATGGCTGGCTCAGGGACAATATGTAGTTCTGGGGACCAAACCAGGTTAGCTGTGTGCAAGACAAGTGCCTTGCCTGCTCACTTACCACTCTAGTCCCTCTTTTACAAAATTATGCCTCTGGTTTTGGCCATATCCAGGGGTGCTCAGGGATTGGTTACTCCTGGAGTGTTGCTCAGGGATATGATGCTGAGATTAAATCCGGGACCACCACATATAATGCGCACAGCAGCCCTTTGAGCTCTCTTTGTAGCCCTTTGAGCTCTCTCTCAAGCACCAATTTTTTTTTTATATTTTCTGAGATATTTAAGTGTAAAATAGGCTGGTTACTTTATATAGCTTAAAACCAAAACATATTTTCCCATATGCTAAATTAAATTTATAATATGAAATAATGCTGGAGCGATAGCACAGCGGGTAGGGCATTTGCCTTGCACGCAGCCAACATGGCCAACCCGAGTTCGATTCCTCTGCCCCTCTCGGAGAGTCCGGCAAGCTACCGAGAGTATCTCGCCCACACAGCAAAGCCTGGCAAGCTCCCTGTGGTGTATTCGATATGCCAAACACAGTAACAACAAAGTCTCACAATGGAGATGTTACTGGGCCCGCTCGAGAAAAATCGATGAACAACGGGAGGACAGTGACAGTGACAGAGACAGAAAAGAACACAAATTAAACAAATATTCTGCAACAATTTATTTTTCTTTACATAATGTACACACACAGTGTTGTAATCAACAGACCAAAAGGTATCCAGGGAACATTAGTCATATAAAATAATTTGGGCCTAGTTCTATTGATGTGTTTTACATATGCAGGTGAATTGTGGACTTACAATTAAATAACATTTTATTTAAATAAGACACATACATCACATTGTGGACCATTTTATTGTAAAATTAGAAACAAGTGTCTTCCAAAATGTAGGGAAATAATCTTTAATACAATATTAATAAGTCTACAAAGTCATTTTATGCACCCAAATTCCATTTCCCTAATGTAAATTTTTGAATATTCTGAAAACTATTTTAAAAGACCAATTTTTGATCATTGGAAAGTACTGAAATTATGAAGAATTTCTGTTAAAAAGAAGTAAAAATAACAAAACATATTTTTCTAGGTTAATGTAAGTCAAATACAAAAAAGCTAAGGAGAAATCAATTTAATGAAATCAAATCTATCTGACAAAAGGCAAGTGATAATGTTAAAAATAGAAAAGTACTACTAGAATCAATTGCATAGGTTTAGTGTGACAGTACTTATTTAAAAAATTTTAATGGAAAATAATTTAAAGCCCTTTTTTTCCCTGGAGCTTAAATAGAAGGTCACATTCCTAACAATGACTCATACTTTCTATAAGCACGTTGTTAATTTTTAAACTTGCCAATGTGTTCACGGGCTATAATAAGCCTTTGAATTTGTGCTGTACCTTCATAAATCTGCAATAAAATAAAAAAAAGTTAAATATTTTCAGTACATAAATAATTCTATTTACTAAACATTTAAAATATCATAAAATCTGTTGTAATACCAAACTGAACTGAACCAAACCATATGTATATACATATACTATACATCTATAGAGATGTATGTATGTATATATATATATATAGTCAGTAATCAAAAGTCCTTTGAAATCTTATTTTTTGAAGACTTTGAAAATAAGTATTTCTCAGAAAAGAAGAAAGAGGAGGAGATGGAGGAGGATGAAGGAAAGAAGGAAAGAAAGGGAGGAAGGGAGGGAGGGAGGGAGGGAGGGAGGAAGGAAGGAAGGAAGGAAGGAAGGAAGGAAGGAAGGAAGGAAGGAAGGAAGGAAATTCTCTAAAAAATTAGCTTTTAGTTTAAATTATCTCTTTGGTCCATAAATTATCTTAAAACAGTAAGTCATTCATATGCCAAAACACTGGAGTATTAAATAGTCAAATAAAAGGATATTAACATGTTAAAACTGTAGAAAACTAAAGAAGTTTAATGTTGCTATTTATCAAGCTTTCCTGAACTGTATTGTGGTAGTTGTCACCTTCAGTCATTCTCTCTTCTTACTCTTAAATCTGACATTTTCTCTTGCTCCTAAGGAAACGAATTGCTAAAGAAAAAGACTCTAGAACAATTTGGTTTTGCTTACTTACATATTTCTAGCATTTAGCCCTTACTCCCAGTAAAAACTTCTTTTTAATTTTTGGCTGTTCGTTTGTTTGGCGGGGAGGGTGGGGACACCCAGATATGTTCAGAGGTTACTCCGGCTTTGTGCTCAGAAATTACTCCTAGCGATGCTTGTGGAACCATGTGAAATGCAGGGGATTGGATCCAGATCAGCTGCGTGCAAGGCAAACACCCTACCCACTGCGCCATCTCTCTAGCCCACAGTCAGTTAAAACTTCTAAATCTAGTAATCTGTTCACCTTCTCAGGTGACTGAGAAAAAGTTAAATGACTTGTAATAAGAACTACTATAATTAAAGCCTTTGAGGGAGGGGAGTATCACCAGATAAACTATGGGTAAGATATAAATTCTGTCCTTCAGTTATTTCATGTCTAAATTAAAAGGCTACACTATATTTATACTTCCTTCTTATTCTAACATTTTCTGAACCAACCTGTAGATACTAAATAACCGTGTCTGACCAAAAAAAAAAATTGCTGGAGATAGAGAAAGCAAAGGAAGATATACTGAGGAGCCTGAGTTATAATTAACTTACAAGTGGACCCTAAGTTATAATTAACTTGTAACATGGGTATTTAGTTATATCTTATTTACTAAACTACTCCCATCTCTAAGTTTTTTTTACCACCAATTTAATTTACAAGATAATATTATCACTATCTCCTCATGTGTTTTTTAAATCTTTGGTGCCAAATATGTTTTAATAAATTCAATATAGTCTATATTTAAAATAAAATTAATTTTAAAAGACTTGCATAATTTTAAGAGACTGAAAGGTGATTATGATCAGCTATGATCTTACTAGTCAAAGAAGGCTGATTTGGACATACTGTATACGTCCATCATTTACTTTGTTAGGCTATTCTTTAATACATGTACTTAAAAGCATCGTTCATTTTTTATTACTTAATTCCAAAACTTCCACTCTTAGCAATCTATGACAGCTACTTATTATTATTACTGGTATTAAATACTTAATGATTTTTAAAAAAATATATTGTCATTTAAGAGTATCTTATCCCCTTAAAAAATCACAATGGGACTGGAAAAATAGTATAGTGCATAGGCAATTCCTTTACACACAGCAGACCGGGTTTGATCCCCCAGAATCCCATATATGGTCCCCTCGACACTGCCAGGAGTGACTCCTAAGTTAAGAGCCAGAAGTAACCACTGAGCATCACCAGGTGTGGCCTAAAAAATGAAAAAAATCAAGAAAGATCAAGTTATTTTTAACTTTACCTGATAGATCTTGGCATCTCTCATTAGTTTTTCTACAGGATACTCTGTATTAAATCCATTGCCTCCGAAAATCTGCACGGCATCAGTCGCTAACTGATTTGCAATATCTCCAGCATATGCTTTTGCAATAGAGGCATAATAGGTATTTCGACGACCAGCATCAACTTCCCAAGCAGCTCTCTGGTAAGCTAATCTAGCTATTTCAACTTTCATTGCCATTTCAGCCAGCAAAAATGATACCCCTTGGTGCTAGAATTAAAGAGAGAAAAAAGTTTAAAGTTAACTGTGGCCTCAAACTCCAATTTTACATACTTACTACATTTAGTAACATATCCCTGTCATTGCTTTAGAATGTGACAAGTTGAGTTAGAGAGATAATACTGGAGGTACGGATTTGCATATAATCTGGTTCAAATCCCAAGGCACCGCTTTTGCTCCCCTGAGCACTGCCAAGGGTCATTCCTGAGCACAGAGCCAGGAACAGCTGCTGAGCATAACTGGGTGTGGCCCAATACTTGCCACTCCTGCCCCACCAAAACTGAGTGTCAAAAATTGTTGAGTATCGGTGTGTTAAGGTTTTTTTCTAGGAGGTGGGGGTGGAGGGTGGGGAAGGGTGGCTTCCCAAGAAGTGCTCAGAGGGTAGTTCAGGGTCATTCCTGCTAATATGTGGCCAACCCGGTCAGAAGGTTCCATCTGGGGTCCAACAATGCAGGGCCGCTCAGGTGCAGTGGTATGAGAGTCACCAGGGTTAGAGTCAAGGGTGTGTAGGGTATGCAGTATTGGGGATTCATCTCAGCATCTTAGGCATGCAAGGCACATACCCTTGACCCTTGAGTCAATCTTTTCGGAGACTAAATGTTTTTATTAAAAAAATTATATATATATGTATATATATACTTGATTACCTAAAGTTCTGTGATTTACAATACTGTAATAATGGTTTCTCACACACACAATTCCAACACTACACCCACCAACAGTGTATTCACCTCCCTTCCTCAAGTACCCCAAGACCTCTCCTTTACAATGCCCCTTCCCCTACTGAGTGACACACACACACTCAGTTGTGTTGATCAGCTCCCTCATGGTGTTTTCTTTGGACCTTGGTGCTACCTTACTGTATAACTTTAGGTTTCACATATGAGAGAAATCATTCTGTAGCTTCCCTTTCTTTCTGACTGACTTCATTCAGCAGGATTTCCTCTTGTTCCATCCATGTTGCTGCAAACTACATGATTTTGTTCTTTCTTAGAGCTGCACAGTATTCCATTGTGTAATGCAACGTCTTTCAGAGCCATACTTCTTATAGAAGCAATTAATAAGCAATGTGAATCACTCCAATGTCAAACGAGGGTAAAATTCTCCTCTCTTCTGCCCGCCTAAATAATGCCTATTCTTCTGTGTCAAAAAATCAGGTTTTTTCCTTGGTTTATTTTAGATTTTACTTTAGTTCTGAGTTGGTAATACAACCACCAGTTCAAACTTTTAAGTTTTCTTCTCAGTTCTCTTATTATCCCTGTACTCCTCCACCCTAATTTCCCTTCCTGGGAAAACCAAGTTACCAGTTATTTTAATCCTCCCAGAGCTACTGTGTATATAGACAAATATATCATATATGGATAGAGTCTCCTTTTCTTAGGAAGGATAGTTGCTAAAGTTCATTCTTGCATCTGTCCCATAGTCATACCACATTAACAACTAATTCACGTCTATATAAACACAGGTATGTGATATATTGTTTATTCCCTACTATAAGATGTGAAATGGTTTAAAATTATTTAAATGTTAACTCCAAGTATACAAATGTTAAGACATACCCAGGTTTGATTCCTCCGCCCCTCTCGGAGAGCCCGGCAAGCTACTGAGAGTATCTTACCTGCATGGCAAAGCCTGGCAAGCTAACCATGACGTATTTGATATGCCAAACACAGTAACAACAAGTCTCACACTGGAGACATTACTGGGCTCACTCGAGCAAATCAATGAACAACGGGAGGACAGTGTCAGTGACAGTGACCTAAATTGTATGTGTCTTTGTTTTTTGGAGGGTTTTCTTGGAGAGGACAGAGAGAGTGGTTAGTTTGGGCCACACCCAGTGGTGCTCAGGGGTTATTCCTGGCCCTGCACTCAAGAACCACTCCTGGTGGGCTCAGGGGACCATATGGAATGCCAGGGATAGAACCCAGGTATGCTGTTTGCAGGGCAATGCGTTACCTTTCTACTAGCTCTCTTGCCCCAAATTTTTACGTGTATTATAAGGAATGATAATCTCCCGAAAAAATAATTTATAGAAGATACTGTAGCAGATTAAGGAGCTGCAAAAATCACAAGAGTAGGGGAGCATCTGGCACCCCACTATTTTACCTATTAATTTAAAATCCAAGACTGGAGAGATAGTATAAGGGTTAAGGTGCTTGCCTTGCATGCAACTGACTATTTTGACTTCTGGTACCACATGGTCACTCCATAGATATGCCAGGAGTAACCCCAAAGCATAGAGCCAGGAGTAGCCCCTGGCGCTACTGGGTGTGGTTCACCCCCAGCCCTCAAAAACATACAGATAGCCAGCAATTTTTACTCCCCCCACCCCCTTTTTTTGGGCTACAGCCTGCAGTACTTAGAGGCTATTCCTGGTTCTGTGCTCAAGAGAGACTGCTGGTAGTACTCAGGGGACCGTATGTGGTGCCAGGATTCAAACCAGGGTCAAGGTCAAGGCAGCCACATGCAAGGAGAGTACCGTACCTACCGCACTAACCCTCCAATCCTAACCAGCATTTTTCACGGTAATGAAAGAGAAGGAAAATTTTAGGAGATACAAAATGACAAAAGACTGTACTTTGAAAGTAATAAGCAAAGACTAAGACTTTTCTATACTTAATAATAAAAGGCTATAACATCCTGGTGCAAGTGCTATTATTTCAGAAGTGCAATTATTTCAGAAAATAATTGTCAAGGAGTTCAAAAGAAAAAGAACTTGTCCTGGAGGATAGCTCAAAAGGTTAGTGCGCATGCTCTGAGTTTGATCCCTAATATTACAAGGTCCTCCGAACACGGCTGTGGAAAAACCCTGAGCTGGATATGGTCCTAAAACAAACAAACAAAAAAGGGAACAACAACAAAAAATTCCTACTAAGTTATAAATGGCCAAGAATTATCAGCTACTTGGTGAGAAGGACTTGGATAAGAAAGATCTGAACAGAATTACTGTTTATAATAATGCTAAACTAATAGTTATATTTTCAACAGATATTGTACTAATCTGTTTGTATATATGTATAGTTCTGCAACATAAATGAACTAATATATACCTCTTTTTGACCAAATTCTAAAAAGGAAGAACTCAGGACCAGAAAAATAGTACAGAGAGCCAGGCACTTGCCTTGCATGTGGCTGATCCTTGTTTGATCTCTGGCACTGCATATGGTACCCAAGCACTGGAGAAGAGAACCCTGAGCACAGAGTCCAGAGTAAGTTCTGAGCATACCCACGTATGACCCAAAACACAAAAGCAAACAAAAAAATAGGAAGAGCTCAAGGGAAAACAGGATTTGCTTTTTAAAAATTTTCAGGGACTGTTCAGGTAATGCTGGGGACTGAACTTGTGCCTCTTGCTTAGAAAGCATGTGTTCCAGCCCTTTGAGCAATCTCCCAGGCTCTTCAAGGACATAAACAGAAATCCCCAAGTGTCTTCAAGGAGGAATTTATATCCTGATTAAAAAGTGACACCAAAAAGTAAAAACAAAAATCAGGATATGATTTGAATTCATTTGGGATAGGAACTGGAATTTTAATAAACACACAGAATGGGAAATTGCAAACAAGGCAAAAGGTTCAAACAGAGTCCCTGCATATAAGAGTTTTTCTTTCCAAAGTCTTGGTTCATGAGGAAGAAAAGCAACAACAACAACAACAACAAAAAGCCTCTCTCTTAAGGGCTGGGAAACACCTAATGAACGTATCAAAAACAGACAGAAGCAATTCAACAAAACAGCATCTTGGGCCAGAGAAATAATACTGCAGATAGGGAGCCTGCCTTGCACATGGCCAACCCAGTTTTGATCCCCAGCATCCCACATGGTCCCCTAAGCCCACCAGGAATGATCCTGGGCACAGAGCGAGGAGTAATCCCTAAGCACCACCTGGAGTAGCCCCAAATTTAACAATAGAGAGAAAGAAAAAAAGAGAAACAATATCTTTCATAGATGAACTTAAAAGAAACTAGGAAATAATTGGTATAAAAAGAAAAAATAATAGATTGAAGGATTTTCTAAGAATTTTAAAGAAAGGTGGGGAAAACCTGATGGTAATTATAAATATAGTTTTTGCTTTGTTTTGTTTTGGGGCTACATCCAGAGGTATTAGGGGTAGTACCTACCTCCCTACAGGGGCCATGCAGTACCAGGGACTAAACTCAGTCCATTCAGCTATCTTTCCAATCCATAAATGAAGTATTTTTATATGAATTAGGAAGCATTAAGGGACTCAATAAGTTGTTCTTCTTAATTTACTTAATTCTCTTGAGTGAACAATAGTAGCAAAGTCTAAAGAAAATCTATTCTTCCTAAAACAGTGTTTTCTCTTCTTGCTATAAAAGCAGAAATACAAGTCTATACTTTAAAAATAATTTTAAATTATTTAAATGAAAACAAAATCTTTACATTTCAAAAAAGCAAGTATAGCATTAAAGTTACCTCTACAAGCAGCTTTCCAAAAGTTTTCCTGTCCAGGGCATACTTGGTGGCTTCATCCAAAGCTCTCTGTCCAAGTCCCACTGCACCAGCTGCAACCTAGTATTTTAACATAAATTGAAGCATGTCATCGATAAGACACAGTAATGGGAATCTGCCTAATAACCTAAGTTAAGGCTCAGATGAAGAAAACTTAAACCTTAAGGAAACAAGAAAATGAGTGCATGAATATTGCAATTTATGTTATTTATGAATAAATAATGGTTAGAAAGATATTTGTTAAAGAGTTTATAGACAAGTTATCTCTTGTCAATAAGGGAAATTTCCATAGAAATATTGTTCTTAGTGAAGAAAAGGGAATCAAGATACTATAAGCAGGAGTAATTGAATCAAATATGAACTAATCTAGCAGTAATTACAGAAATTTTGTTTTGGCTAAATTAATTTCTGTAAACAGGCAACCAGAGTTATAGAACTCTAGAAAATAAAGGAAAACTTCATCTTTTTTTAAAAAATGCGTATTTAAAAACAAATAAGAAACACAATATTAAAACTATTATATAAATAAAACTTACATAAGGGCATCAAGTCTACTATAACTTACCGGAGGTCTGGTTTTATCAAAAGCTCCCATTGCAATTTTGAAACCAGCTCCCTCACCAATTAAAACATTTTCTTTAGGCACCCTCACATCTTCAAATACAATTCCTCTTGTGTCTGAACATCGCTGGCCCATATTTAATTCCTAGTAAGGAAAATTATATATATATTAGCAAGGAGGTTTGTTGTTGTTTTTTTTTTTTAATGATTATTATTTCTTTTTTCTTTTTGGGTCACACCTGGCGATGGTCAGGGATTACGACTGGCTCATGTACTCAGGAATTACTCCTGGCAGTGCTCGGGGGACCATATGGGATGCTGGGAATCGAACCTGGGTTGGCTGCGTGCAGGGCAAACGCCCTACCCGCTATGCTATGGCTCCAGCCCCTAAGGAGTTTTTTTTAACCAAGATTTTTTTCCCCTCTTTGGTATTGTCAGGGATCAACTCAGGGCCTCATATATGCAAGGCATGTGCTTTACCACTGAGTCACACTCTCAACACCACAAATTTTAATTTTAACCTGTTAATGACTTTTTGCAACTGTCCAAAACAGGAATTGATAAATTACAATCTGAAATAGCTGTTTTGTTAGGAAAAAACTCTATAGGTATATACTCACTTCTGTTCATTTTACATAAAAAGCCATGGTTACTTTCTTGCTACAATGGGAAAATAGCAGAACCATTTTCACAGATTGATCATATGTCCCTCAAAGCCTAAACTATTTATAATCAGAATCTTTATCAAATTTGCTAAACCCATCTTAAATATCAAATTTAAAACCAATACCAACCTATAGGTCTATAAATACTACCTACAAAGACAAATTCTATGTTTGGAACTAATTTTTACTGTCAGGAAAAATACGTAGGAAACATAATCTGATTTGGGAAAAGTTTATTTTCATTTTAAGTAGTAGAGAAACAAAGCAACATGCAAGGTAAAGGCTGAATTTGTTTCTCACCCAATAACTATTAAGCATTTTAAGCAATATATAGGCCATTTCACCTAACAGCACTAAAACACAGCTTTATTTTTATTCTAATAAAATATAAACATATTTGAAAACATATATGAAAACATATAAACAATGTTTTCAATGAAGAAAGCAAATAGTAATTTTGAAATCAGTAACTTAAAATTTTTTGAGTTCTTAACCACTGAAAAACACACAGTACCTTTCTTCCAATCTGTATTCCTGGGGTATCTGCTTCCACAATAAATCCAGTAAAAGCTTTACTGGCAGGCATTTTAGGATCCGGCTCAGAACGAGCCAATAAAAAGTACCTTATATAAACAAACATAAATACACATGAATATACAGATGAATGAAAAGCTTATCCAATCACCTGTTTATGATGTGGCGATGCTAGTACTTCAACCCAGGCCTACTGTTTCAAGCAGTGCTAAGGGAATCCGGGGGTGCTCCCAGCAGATTCCCCCTCACCATGTAGGTTCACTATTCAAGGCAACAAATGCTGCTACCAGAAATGAAATACAGTCCTGGCACCTATTCCCCAGCGCTAGATCTTTTTTTTTTTCTTTTTGGGTCACACCTGGGGATGTTCAGGGGTTACTCCTGGCTTTGCACTCAGGATTTGACATCAATTAGTCCTGGCGGTGTCTGGGGGACATATATGGGATGCTGGGAATTGAACCCCAGTTGGCCTATGCAAGGCAAAAACCCTCCCGGCTGTACAATCGCTCCAGCCCCTAGATCTACTTCTTTACTAATAAGCTACTTGAGGTTTTCGGTAGCGTGAATTGTAAGAAAAAAGTGTCATGTATAAAGTCATGTCAAATTTTTAAAAATTATTGTGTTTTTATTTTTCTATTTTAAGATTACTAGGGGACGGGCTGGAACGATAGCACAGCAGATAGGGTGTTTGCCTAATTTCTTACTACCAGAAAAAGTTCTACTTAAAATTATGAAATATTCTAACTGCATTATTAGATTTTTTCAAATGGTTACATTTTAATAGTTTCTTCCCTTCTTTAAAAACTCATTTAAAGACAATGTTATTCCCAGGAATAATGTTTTACTTGCCATAAGACTACACTGCAGACTACTTACACATCGAATAAGAAGTTTCATAGATGAGGAAAGAGAGTTAATTTAATTATTCCAAACATGAGAAAATCCTTCTGTGAAGTCTCAGTATATTTGTAGTTTTGGTTAAATGCATAATATTCTACAACTTAACACAGGAGCACTATTGTTAAAAACCTTCTCTTGCCCTATTTTCTATTAGAGCTGTCTTCTATTTCTCATTTACTAGATCTAAACTAGATTTCCTGAAGCAAATGTAAAACGCCTGCATTTTCTTCAGTGTGACATATTTCAAGGTAGCACTGTAGTAGCACCGTCCTCCTGTTGTTCATTCGTTTGCTCAAGTGGGCACCAGGTAAACAAATTAATCTCTTTACTTTTCACAGGATCTGTTACCTAGGGTTTTTCTAACATAGGACATATAATTGCTTCTGAACGTATTCCATGTTGTCAATACATGCTCTAAAATGTGTTGCCATGGGCTGGAGCGACAGCACAGCGGGTAGGGAGTTTGCCTTGCACGCAGCCGACTCAGGGTTGATTCCCAGCATCCCATATAGTCCCCAAAGCACCGCCAGGGGTAATTCCTGAGTGCATGAGCCAGGAGTAACCCCTGAGCACTGCCAGGTGTGACCCAAAAAGCAAAAAAAAAAAAAAGAAGTGTTGCCAGGGGATCAGGAATGTAAATTGTTTGTTGACTACATGTATTTGAGGCCCTGGGTTTGATCCCTAATTACCCAAAACAAAAACACATAATTCCCACATCTCCTTCCCCAGGATCTAAATAATCAAAAATAAAAACCTTAAAATATGTTACCAATAACTATTACCATTTTTTCTTCAATTTTTATCCTGTAGTTTGATGGTCTATTACTGTAGTTTGATGGTCTATTACTTCAATATAAAATTACATCATCCTCTTATAGGCTGTACTTCACATCACTGCTGCCTATTGAACTTAGCTATCCCTGTAATCTCTCAGGCCTCCCAAATCACTACTGATAATTTTTCATCGACCTTGAGTTCCATAAATACTTGAGAAGTGAGGGTTTATTAATTAAAAAATAAATAAATAGATTCTGAATATCAAGTGAGAAGAGAAATAACAAACCAGTTGGCTTTTCCTCCATTGGTTATCCACATCTTCTGACCATTAATAATATACTCATCTCCTTTTTTTGTTGCTGTGGTCTTTATACCAGCTACATCAGAGCCTGCCCCAGGTTCCGTAACACAGTAGGCCTTGAAAATGAGGAGGAAGATGAAATAGAATAAATTATGATAATAAATAAATTTTAAAATAAATTATTCATAATAAGTTATAAACATTTAGAAGAAGATAATTTATAGTTACTTAAGTCAATTACTTATTTATGGTTTTGGGGTCACACGCAGTAATACTCAGGAGCTATCTCCGGCTTAGTGCCCAGGGACCGTATTATGCCAGAAAACTGAACCAGATCAGTGGGATTCAAGGCTGACTCCTTAACCTCTGTACTATTTCTCTGGCACTGTTTTCTAAGTCAATATTTTTAAATCTGTAAAAATAAAATATTATTAGGGCTGGATAGAGTGTGTAGTGTTTAAGGCACTTGCCTTACCTGTGCCAGACCTTCGTACCAAATTCAGGCTATTTCTGAGTACTAAGCCAAGGATTAGGCCCCAAGCATCACTAGGTGTGGCCCAAACCCACCACACCCCACCCACCACAAATATTCTGGAGTTAAAAAATATATAGTATTCAATTATAAAAACATTTAATGTATAAATTACGATGTGATACAGGATGTTAATGAACCTTCTAAAGTGCATATGCTAGAAGAACAACTTAGTTGAAGAACCAAGCTAAATTCAATGTCAGATGTACTTAGTCCTTTAAGCAATAAATGTACTAGGTTATGAACAAGGAGATAAGAAAACCAAAGCAGAAGACATCACAATTTAACAAGGGAGAGGCAGAGAGGGTTTATGGTGTTTATGACATTCGCAAGGCAAATTAGAAACCCAAGTTCAACCCCCGTAACTGCATTTGGTCCCCTTAGCACTGCCATGAGTGACCCTGTAGTAAAGAACCAGGAGAAGATCCTGAGCACCCCCTACTCCAAATAAAAACTAAAAGTAAACCAACCAACTTAACAAGACAGATGACATATGTCTAGTTACTAGAATCATCCACAATGAACTGAATGCTCTTTTTTTAGGGTTTTTAGGTGACACCTGGGGAACCCAGGGGCTACTCCCGGCTGTGTGCTAGGAGACTGCTCCAGGCGATACTCAGAGGAACATGAAATGCTGGAGATCAAAGCATGTGCTCTAGCCCACTGAGCTATATCTCAAGCTACACAATGAACTTAAGAACCGTACTTGGCTTTAAAGATTGCAGTAAAAGCTTTCCAGAGGTAATACTAAATGTTAAGTCTCAAAAAAGGAAAAGAAATTCTTTGGGGTACGGTAATGGAAGACTGTATTTTAGGCAGAAATGATAATGTATGTGATGATCCAAAGCAAGATTATAAATATTTGCAATATGAAGGTACCCAAGTTCCATAACATTAAACTCTCTATGTAAGTAAATGGAAGTGAATCTGTAAACAAAGGAACTACATTTTTGCACTAGGAAAGAAAATATGGCTGAGATGAAAAGTTCCACTAAATGGAAGGAAATTGCCCAATATACATCTGACAAGGGTTAATATCCAAGACTATACAAAGTACTCATCAACTCAACAGCAAAAGAAACAATTCCATCCAGAAATGTTGACGGGGCTGGGAGTTAAAGGGGTTAGAGTGCATGCATTATACACAACAGATGCTGATTCAATTTCTTGAATTGAATCCCATCCCCAAATACAGTCCCAGAGACCCTGTAAACAGTGTGAGGGTTACCCTGGTGGTATTAGGCATCATGTCTTCAGAACCCTGCATAGCCTCAGACCTTGACACTGAATTGTCAGCGGCTAGGCCAAAAATCACTGGGGACAGCCCCCAGGTTCTCTAGGAGGCACCCCCATCTCTCACCACCAAGGGGAAAGCAGATAAACAGAAACTTTCTTGAAGAAATACAGATGGCCAAAAGGCATATGAAACAAAGTGCTCACTACCACTTATTACCAGGGATATACAAGTCAAATTCAGCAAGATATCATCTTACACCAGTGAAAATGGCCTACATAAAAAGAAAGCAGCCACTGTTGATGGGAATGTCACCTGATTTAGTTTTTATGGGAAATCAAATGAAGGTGTCTTGAAAATGAAAAACTGAACTTCTATATGATCCAGTGACTGCACTCCTTTGGCATCTGTCCTAAGAATCCTAAAATCATCAACACCGATATTATATACCCATGTTCCTGCAGTGCCAGTCACAATAGTGTCAAGATCCAGAAGCAACTTAAATGTCTAATGCCAGCGGAGTGGACAAAAATTGTGAGCCGTGGTGTATGTGTATGCATGCTGAAAAAGAATACTTATAAAGGGGGATATGCTAGGTGAAATAATCCAGGGGGAGAAGGGCAGACACCAGATGCTCACGCTCATATGTGATATATAAAGAAATAATGCAAGGGAATAGCCAATCATTATCCAGTGATAACAAATTCGGGAACCTGACTATGGAACTGAGGTTACCTAGTGGGGACGGGAGGGGAGTTGGGGAACAGGTGAATGAAAGTGACATAAATAAGGATAATGATGGACGGTCCTCAGCACTCTGCTGGTGGGGTAGTATAGTAATTTTGTACACAAAAAGCATTAATATTTAACATTATGTATACACACATATACATATAACATACAAAATATGTATGGTAGGTAACTGTATGCTTTCACTTCAATTCTGGAGGTATCAATAATTATTCGTGTAGGGACTAGAGATATGATAAACCGGGTAAGACATTTGTTTTGCACATCACTGACCTGCATTAACAGTATAGATAAACTCTAATAGTTGCATCCATTTTCTCCTGTGTTTATTTATTTATATATTTTTGTTGTTTGGGGCAATACTCGACAGTACTCAGGGTTTACCCCGCACTCAGTTATCACTCCCAGTGGGTTTGGGAGACCATATGGGGTGCCGGTGACTGAACCCAGGTCTGCTGTGTGCAAGGCCCTACTCACTGTAATTTTTCTCCGGCCCATACTTATTTATTTTTGGATTGTGGGCCACACCCAGAAGTATTCAGAACTTACTTTTCAAGGATCACTTCTGGTTGCTCTTGAGGAACCAGGAAGTACTGGGGATCAAACCTGGGTCAACCACATACAAGGCAAATGCTACTTCCTGTACTATCTCTCTGGTCACCTCCTGCATTGGTTTTTAGATTTATCTTTGTGGAGCTAGGAAGAAACCCCTACATATTCAAGGCATACAGTCTACTATGAAATCAAACCCCCAGCCCTGTATTTTTTTATCTTGGGGGCGAGAGTTTGTTTAACCCAAACTCAGTGCTCAGGGGCTACTACTGGCAGTGCTCAAGGAATCATATGTGGCATGCAGATCAAATCAGGTTCAGCTGCATGCAAGGAAAGTGACTCTGAAGCTAGAATGATGTAGATACTATGAGTGTGTATGTATTTTTTATATATATTGATAACTGCTAAAAAGTTGTTTGATATATTTCAACTACTTTTAAAACTTTAAGTGTAAAATCAAACAGTATCTGCACATACTCACACACATCAATGGTGCCTCAGTCATCCTTCCTAAATACTTCTTCTTTTGTTGATCATTTCCAGCAATAATAACAGGCATTTGCTACCAAAGAAAAAAGATATTTTTGCTAAATACACAAATTGAGATATGCTATTATTCAAAAGAAAATTATTTCCCCCACCAAGGGATTGGTTTCAAATAATTGTCCTTTATTGTATCTCTAACTTGGGAGTTAAAAACCGAGCAGAAATATATCTAAACCAAATTATATAAAATATATATAACCCAATTACTTCAATAAAATTATATATATTATATAAAATTCTACTACAGCAAAATGCACTAGTAAATAATTAAATTTAGGATAAATGAAATGGTGTGTTTGGTCGAGCATCCTAAGAATTGCTCACCAAATGTCAGCACTGCCAACAGTGGTGGCAAGACATCTAAATCACTCTCCTGGATGCAGTTTCTTGGCTTTGCCCTTACTGATAGGCATAGAAGAGAAAGTCAAAATATAGTTTTCCAACCAGAACAGCTAGCCTACAAAATACCAGACATAATAAAAAAAAAAAAAAAGGCCCTCCCGTTGATCGTCGATTTGCTCGAGCGGGCCCAGTAACGTCTCCATTGGAGACTTCGTTGTTACTGTGTCTGGCATATCGAATACTCTCGGTAGCTTGCCGGGCTCTCCGAGAGGAGCGGAGGAATCGAACTCGGGTCGGCCATGTTGGCCGCGTGTAAGGCGAACGCCCTACCTGCTGTGCTATCGCTCCAGCCCAGTCATAATATGATTAGAATACTCAGACCAGACTGATTAACTCTTGAAACATGACCTCAAGGCTTCAATGTAGAATCATATGTTCCTTTTTAAAACAGACTATGTTAAACTAACCCATTTTAGTAGCAATAAGTTTTCCGCATCAGTTCAGTTCGCTAATTTTCTGTGAAACTAACCTACCTAACTAGCAATAAGTTTTCCACATCAGTTCAGTTTTCAAAGTAACTTACCCCTAAAGAATTTGCTTCAATAGCAGTCTGAACCCCAGTACATCCATAAGCCAATTCTTCAGTAATTAAACATGCGTCAAAAGTTCCAAGTCCAAGACCTCCTACAATATTTTAATATCCCATTAAAATGTAGAGTATATCTCAAAAGAATCAAAAATGAGCTATTTATTTTGACTTATGAGTTAATTTCTTTTAAAGGCAAATTTTCAAAAATAGCTATAACATAAAAGATTTTAAAAGTATTCTAGCTAGCACAATACCAAGGTTATTTTTCTCTAAAGTTTTAAACTTATGAAAATATATTTACTGTTTGTAATCTGGATCTATCTTACTCTACTTGATTTTGTAAAAACTTAATTCAGGGACTGTACTGGTACTACAGCAGGTAGGACTCTAACTGATCTGGGTTTGATATCTGCGACCCCATATGGTCCCATGATCACCAGCAGGAGTAATCCCTGAGCACAGAGCCAAGAATAAGCCCTGAACACAGCCAGGTATGACCCCAAAACAACAAAACAACTTGATTCAAATCTGTTATAACTCTGACCCATTCACCTGAGGGAAAAAGTAATACTCTTACAGAAAAAAAAAATGATCTCAAGAAAATATTAAAATTTAAGATTAAAATACAACAAACAGATTAACTCTAGAGATATGTCACCAAGGTATAAAAGTCAAAAGCTATTTAGCAGCAACTGAGATAGTTGTACAACGTTCTTGTTCATATGCCTTTTAGTATTAAAAAAATCTGAAGACAGCTTACCACAGCTCTCTGGAATGTGTGTATTCATTAAGCCAAGTTCCCAGGCTCTTTTAATTAGGGGGACAGGATACTAAAAAGGTTTTTTGAAAAAAAAGAAAAGAAAAAATGACATTATGCTTTTAAAATATAGATATTTGGATTATATAGTCCTGTGAAAGTCTAACAGTTCTCTACCCTTAAAACAATATACCTACCTCCCCAGATTTGTCATATTGTGGAGCAACTGGAATTATTTCCTCCCTGGCAAATTTCCGAGCAGTAGCTTGAAATTCTTTCTGTTGTTCAGTGAATTCTAAAGGAAAGTTATTTAGAAAACTCTTTTAAAAGAGGACAATGAGTTGAGGAAAGTATGCTATCAGTGTGGTGATTTTATTATTTATGAGATACAAAATTTCTTTAACCAGAAAGTCTAAGGATACAATGTGTTTTCAGACTAATCAAGATTTTGCTATACAATATACATTAAATTTATAATTTATAAAAAAGGCCTTCCCGTTGATCGTCGATTTGCTCGAGCGGGCCCAGTAACGTCTCCATTGGAGACTTTGTTGTTACTGTGTTTGGCATATCAAATACTCTCGGTAGCTTGCCGGGCTCTCTGAGAGGGGCGGAGGAATCGAACTCGGGTCGGCCATGTTGGCCGCGTGTAAGGCAAACGCCCTACCGCTGTGCTATTGCTCCACTGTGGATAAGGCGTTTGCCTTGCACGCAGCTGACCCACGTTCGATTCCTCCGCCCCTCTTGGAAGCCCAGCAATCTACCAAGAGTATCTCGCCCAAGCAGCAAAGCCTGGCAAGCTCCCTGTGACTTATTCGATATGCCAAAAACAGTAACAACAGGTCTCAAATTTGTTGTGAGATGTTACTGGTGCACGCTCCTGCAAATCTATGAACAACAGGAGGACAGTGCTACAATATAACACAAATACCAAAGGTGAATGTAAATATCAAAGGAGGTAGATTAAGATTTCCAGCTTTCACAAATAAGCAATAAACTTGAGTTTCTCCAATTGGGAAGGTAAAAGAAAAAAATCTTAACTTATTGCTAGTTCCCAAACAGAATTATCAACTGCTTGTTAACCTTGAAGATAAACAGATCCATAAATACTAAACCAATCTCAAGAATCAATCTAACAAGGAAAATGAGATGTTAGGAAACCAAAACAATAGAACTTGTTCCAAAATATCATGGAGCAATACCTTAATTTCAATTTTACACCCCTGTTAAACTCAGTTTTTTATAAATTAGAACAAAGTAACTAGTAAAATAGGGAAAGTGTTCTCAGAAGATAATAACATAAAATTCTGCTGTTATGTAATAATCAGTCCAAACAACTCAGTGCCCAACATGGAGTTGTATTTTTTTTTTTAAATGGTAACTAGGCTGAAGATAAGAGTCAATCATCTGCATTCTTTCAAATCCATACTCAGTGGGTTTTAATGAGATTTCATCATACTGGAATGTGAAAAATAAAACATCAAAGATGTCAGATGGGCAGGGAGATATCTTAAAAGGCTAATGTGTGGTTTTGCACCCACCAGAAAAAAGGTGTTAGAATTTTACTGTTGAGTCAAATAGTCTAAGATTCCATCTCTCAAGGAACCTAAATCCCAGATTGAGGAAATAACTTCATAAGCTTATAGTGAATCAGCACTACAAGTATCAGTCTAGTGTTCTCTACATTACAGTTTCTCTTCTACAACTGGGACTGGTCTGAATCAAGGGTGAATAGAGGAGGCAGGGAGAACAGGGAAAGCAGGAATCTATTAGTATTACTTTTTTTTTAAGAACCTACTTTGATCTAGTCACTATTTGTTAAAAACTTAACATATAAATTAAATACAAATTAGTCTTCAAAAAATCCCAATGTTGTAGCCATTGTCGCCATTTTATTGATAAAAAAAGAAAAAATGATAAAACTGATGTACATGTTATTGGGAGACCACTCTTGGTTTCTTCTGGAAGTTACTATTGAGTACATATCTGCATGTGATAAGAAAATACATAGCGATCATGACAAACCAATGCTAATAACTCAAGAAGAGGATCCAGTCTCCAAACTGCTATCTTCACATCACTTGGAAATTTTCATTTAATTCTGTTTATTTTTAAAAAATTACCAAGAAGCTAACAATCTTTACAATAAAAGGAGCTAGAGAGAGGGTATAGCAGGTAAGGCCTTGCGTGAGGCCGACGCGGTTTTCATCCCTGGACCCCATATTTTATCCTAAGTACTGCCAGGAGTGATCCCTGAAAAAAGAGAAGTAAACCCTGAGCAGAGTCACGTGTGCCACACCTTTCAAAACAAAACAAAACACCAAAATAAAAACCAAAAATAATTAACTTTTAACTTTTGAGACTCTTTTGTATCCAATGTGCATTAACAATCTCAGCTATGTGTTTTGTTATTTTTGTGTGGGGGACTGATCTCAGGGCCTCATCTATGTAAAGAATTTACTCTAGCACATAGCTATATCCCAGGCCCTCGCAGTGGCTTTTAAAATACTTTCTGAGAAGAAGTGAAAGAAATGAGCTTTTAACTTGAAGAAAGGTAACAATTTTGAAGCTGTAAAGGGTTAAATATGTCAAAGACAAGAAGTTCAACTTCAATTTTTTTTGTTTGTGTTTTTCATTTTAGAGTGGGGGGGAGAGAGAGAGACACAGAGAGAGAGAGACAGAGACAGAGACAGAGACAGAGACAGAGTTGTGTATTGGCGGGTGGAATCTTATTCCTTTCCTTCCAATACTAAATACTTCCCTTTTTCTGGGTCTGATGACGATATCTAATAGCAATAAACTTGCACCCAAAACATGTATTTGGCTTATAAATAGTTTTTGCGTCCCTAATAAGTATTTAAGGTATTTATTGCTTTCTAACTTCTTAATTGAAGGCTGTTCATAAATACCACTAAATTTGTAAATTATTTTGGGATCTACACTTAAGACAAGGGCACAAATAAATCCATGTGTGCAATTGACCCAGAAGGATATCATGAAAGAATGGAGATCAGTTGCTAGTGACCAACAGTCAGCATATGTATGTAGTGGTCATTTCTGCTAACAAATATTACTGTTTGTTGACAAACATATTCCAGGCAAATAAATACAAGGAGGTGAATATGCTATACATATTACTTGCATATGTTTATCTATTTATATTTAATGTCAAAAGACAGAACAAAACATATACCAAAACTAAATCCCAATCCTGGTTCATGTTTTACAGCAGCTTTTGTGTGCTGCAGTCTCCAGTCAAGACGAGAAATATTTCTCAGGACCTGTAAAGAACAATTAAAATAAATTCAACAAACTTAAGCTTCAATCAAAATGACAGCATATACAATTCTAACTACATCAAATTGTTTGACCAAATATATTCAAGAGCATAGTATTTTTAAGTCATGACTTAAATGCCTTCAACTAAAATCTAATTTCTACATGACAGCCGGAGAGATAGTAAAAGAGTTAAGGTGCTTGCTTTGCATGGAGGCAAGGAGGCAACTCAATTTTCATCTCCAGATTACATGGTACACTGAGCAAAGAGACAGGAGTAGTAGCCCCTGAGCACCATTAAGTATGGCTAGCTCCACTGCCCCCATTAAAAAAATATTTCAGGGGCTAGAGCAATAGCACAGTGGGTAGGGCGTTTGCCTTGCACGCAGCCAACCCAGGTTCGATTCCCAGCATCCCATATGGTCCCCCAAGCACCGCCAGGAGTGATTCCTGAGTGCATGAACCATGAGTAAATCCTGTGCATCGCCGGGTGTGACCCCCCAAAAAAAGAAAAAAAAAAACAAAAAAAATACCCTTCACATTAGACAATAAGAAGATATTTGAACAGCTATCGTGAAAGTGTTTTTGTTTATTTTGGGGGGGGGGGGGCACACCACATCCAGTGGTGCTGAGGGGTAATTCCCTCTCTGTACTCGGGAAATACTCCTGGTGGACTGGGGGACTGTAGAGGATGCCAGGGATAGAACCCAGGTCGACTGTGTGCAAGGAAGCATCCTAAACATGGTAATATCTCTCTGGCTCTAAAAGAAATTTTTAAAAACAAATCAGGTGGTATTCACATTACAAGGGTATGAGGGTTTCAAGACAACAAAGCTAGTGAATCTGGATCTCCCTATCTACAAATTCCAGGCCTTTATTTAGTACAATTGCGAAGGAGAGCAGGAACAACAGGATAATATTGTACTGTTCAGAATTGCCTAGACCCATCGTCTCTGATACCCTGAACTATGAGCCTCTCAGACATGCTTCTATAAACTTCTCCCAGAAGATCCCATTTTCTAAGACACCTCACTAATTCATAAAACAAATTAGTCTAAAACCACATTCTATATTTACTGTTCTTGTCTGTAAACATTCTCAGAATATTTTAAGCTAAGGGTTTGCACACTATGGCAGTCACCAGTTCCATAAATAAAATTTTATTAGAACATTGCCATATTGTATTATCCAGTGCTGCTTTAACTGTAGGGTTGGGGGACAAGAGCAACAGTACAGAGAGTAGGGAGTTTGCGCTGCACATGGCTGAACTGGGTTTGATGCTGGCATGATATGATTCCCCACCACAAGTCATTTCTGAGTGCAGAGGCAGGTGTAAGCCCTGATCACTGCTGGGTGTGACTCCAAAACTAACCCCCCAATACACACACACACACACACACACACACACACACACACACACACACACAGCTCCCCACCCCCAACAAATCATAGTGGGGTTGGGTAGTTGCCACAGAGATTATACAGTTAATAAGGTAAAGGTAAAGGTAAAGGCCCTCCCGTTGAAAGTCTAAGGATATAATGTGTTTTCAGACTAATCAAGATTTTGCTATACAATATACATTAAATTTATAATTTATAAAAAAGGTAAAGGCCCTCCCGTTGATCGTCGATTTGCTCAAGCGGGCCCAGTAACGTCTCCATTGGAGACTTTGTTGTTACTGTGTCTGGCATATCGAATATTCTCGGTAGCTTGCCGGGCTCTCCGACAGGGGTGGAGGAATCGAACTCGGGTCGGCCATGTTGGCCGCTTGTAAGGCGAACGCCCTACCCGCTGTGCTATACAGTCAATAGAGGAGAAAATATTTACTTTTTGCTCTATTTCTTCAGAGAATATATAAAAATAATACAATCTACACCAAATGAAAGCCATTTCACATACTACTGACAGACTAATGTACATTAAAGTAACCACTTCCATGCAAAAAGTGGTTATCAAACTGGGGCAAGTGTGACAGTGCAAAAATGGAGAGTGTGTGCTTTCATGCAGGTTGCCCAGTTCAGTCCTAGAGTGCTGAGCAGTACTTCGTGGTCCAAAAAAAAAAAAAAAGCTACAGAGTCTGAAGAAATAGGCTGAATGGGTGTTTTGCATGCAGGAGCACTGCCAAACTTCCTAAGCACTACTAGGAATACCCCTGAAGCACAGAACCAGGAGTAGTCTGAGTGCTGCTGGGTGTAGCTCAAAAACCAAACAAACAATAGTAAGTTACAAAACTGAGAACCATATTAGATCCCTCTGATAAGAGATTTAAGGTCAGCCAAAATTAATTCATTTGAAAGAATTTTGGTAAAATATTCCTTGATCTCTAGGCAATTCTATTAAGTTAGACACCGAAATAATGATAAAGACCTGGGGTTGGAACAATATTCCAGTGGCAGGGCACTTGACTTGCATGAGGAAGACCTATCTTCAACACCTTGTATGTTTCCCCAAGCCCTGCCAGGAGAACTCACAGTCAGGAGGGATCTCTGAGCTCAGAATCATACACTGGCTGAGACAGTGGGAGGGGAGTGGGGGATAAATGAAACAGAGACAGGTAAAAATTGAACCTGTCACTGTCACTGTCCTCCCGTTGTTCATCAATTTGCTCGAGCGAGCCCAGTAACGTCTCCACCGTGAGACTTGTTATTACTGTGTTTGGCATATTGAATACATCAAAGGTAGCTTGCCAGGCTTTGCCGTGCCAGTGAGATATTCTCCGTAGCTTGCCGGCTCTCCAAGAGGGGCAGAGGAATCAAACCCGGCTCGGCCGACATAGGGCAAGGCAAACACTCTACGGCTGTTCTATCGCTCCAGCCCCTGTGTTTTCAAAATTTATTAAAAAGAAACTAATTGTCACTTTTTAGATGACAACTTGAACTTACAGTGAATCATCTACATTTAAAATGATAATACAGGTTGTCAAATATGGCCTTTAAATGGCCTTCAAAATAAGTTTATCTGAGGGGAAAACGTTATGAAAATTAACATTTCTTCAAAACGTTCATTAATTTTATTTTATTATTCATTATGGTTTTTGTTTTGTTTTGGGATCACACCCAGTGGTGCTCAGGGCTTACTCCTGGCTGAGCACTCAGGAATTATTCCTGGCATTGCTAGGGGTGGCAGGGAACCATACGGGATGCCAAGGATTGAACCCAGGTCGGCCACATGCAAGGAAAGCCCCCTGCCCACAGTAACATCACTCCAGCTCCACCTTTCAATAATTCTATTTGTAAATAAAATTTACAAATTGGTTTGTAAAGTTGTAAAATATGGTTTCTTAGCTCCTCATATCCAGTTCTCCTAGACCACACCTATTCTTGTTCAGGCAAATTCCTCATATCAACTATCAATTCACTGAATTTCAAGTCAGGTCTAGGATTAAGGTACTATGTTCCAATTTGCATATAAAAAAAACCCAAGGCTCAGTACAGATGCCTCTCCCATACCTCAACCTGACACCCCCTCCCCCAAATAAAGAACAGTGGTAGCTAAAGCCTAGGAATAATGTCCAGTAATCCTGCATGCAAGTGTTGTTTGCTTTGAGGCCAAATCCTGTGATTCACTTCTTTACTTATTCCTGAACTCAGGAATCACAGCTGGCCGTGCTTAGGGACCATATGGGGGGCCCAGGGTAAAACCCAAGTCTGCTGGCTATGTGGAAAGCACACACTCGACCCTCTGTATTATGTCTTGGCCCCCAGTAACTTTTAATTACATAAAATGTGATCTATTTAAAGAGAGGTGGCTTCACATTCAAAATATTAAAAAATTATTTGGAGTCAGACTCATCAAATTTGTGTCTAAACTCCACAGCTATTTGTGAGAGATTGGACCAATCACAAACTTTTTGTAGTTTCTTTTCAAACCTCGAAAATACGGCTAAATTCAGTAGCTTATTTACTGAGGTTAGAGTTTAGTGTTCCAATGCAAAGGGGTGTACTGTTTTTGGTTCTCTGACCAGAACAATGTAACTCCTAATCCCAAAAAGACACAAACGGCATCTCTGCAATGCCAGTACAACTAAATTATTATTGCATAGCTTTTAGCAAAAAAAAGACTCCTGTTTATGTAGTAGAGTCAAACAAGAGATAATAGAGATAAAACTCTCCTAGATCAGGTTTCTGCTTCCTAGGAAAAAATTAGTAAATAACTTTTTTCTGGTTTCATTAAAAATCAGTTTTAGAATTCCCTCCACAACTTCTGTTTTTACAATGCATTAACATATACAACAAAGACAAATGTGGGCTATAATGAATCCTTCTAAACTCCACTCTATAACGATCACTCTAAACTCCACACCTGCTACTTTCCTGGCCTAAAGACTTAACTTTAAGTCGCCCATAAGCGACAGTTAGAAAAATGACAGCAGTCTTGTAAAAAAGAAAAATAAGTTTTTAATGTAGATCCTTAATATTTCAGATAGCAGACTGCATCCGGGAACAAACTGGAACGTCAGAACAAGCAGGCAAAGATTGAAAGGAAACTTCCGCAGTAGGTTATTCGTAAATGTCTGCAATGTGCAAACTCCCACCTCTGTGTTGCAAAACACATGAAACATATTAAATAACGCAAGGCGCGGGTACTCCATTTTCCTTCTTCCTGGGACTTAGCAGATTAGGAAAGCCCGATCATTTCTGTAACCGATTCATATCTCCACTGCAGAATGACACCAACATTTCGGCCTTTTCTCGGGCCGAAGCTCGAGAGCCGAGACAGTCCTGTTTCCCTCCGAGAGAGAGGTGTCAGTTTAACAAAACCTCGGGCCCCCGGGTTTGCTTCCTTCACTCCTGCTTCCTGGGGTCTTGGACAAGAGTGGGGGGGAAACCCCAAAACTTCTATATTCTAAAAATTGGAAGGAAGAGTCGGGGAGATCCGCGAGAGCGAAGAACTAGGGTGCACTGTGACCCCGAGTGAGAGAGAAGGGGGGCCTGGGAGAACTGCAAGTCGAAACCCAACCCGCTGCCAAAATGGGGGGTGACGTGGGTCCGCCCCGCTCCTCCCCCCTCAAGGTTTCCCACTGCTCTGCAGAGCCCCTCTTTACGGCCCACACCCTCATCTCCATCCGCCGCTCCCGTCGGCACCCCCGCGCTGCTCACCCCGCAGCTTCGCCTGAACGCCACTGCCATCTCGACGCCGCAGCTTCTCCCGGGAACCGTCAGAGCACCCGAACCTGAAGCTTTGACCGACGCTGCCCCGGGCCATCGTCGGGCCCCGCCCCCTAAGAGGGGCTGGGCGGCGCCAGCCGAGGGGCGGGGCACTGGCTGAGCCTGGGTGGGGCGGGGTGGTGGTGGGGGGAACCGGTAGGGCAGTACGCATGCTCCGTAACCCCGCCTGCGCGTCCGCGTGACCTTGGAAGGAGATTTAAAGCGTCCCAAGAAAACCGGCTGCCCAAAAGGAGAGGGAGAGTTTTGAGGGAAATTGACCTGCCGGGGGACTGTACACTGGGGAGGGGTGGGTGTTCCATCATTGTATGACTGAAACTCAAATATGAAAAGCTTTGTAACTGTAGCTCACGGTGAATCGATTAAAAAAATTAAAGGAGAATAATAGGACATAATAGTGCATAATAAACCAATGGGGAAATTATACTCCACTGTACTTTCTGCCCTGATAGTACTATCACAAATTTAGTTAAAAAGTCTAAACAATAAAAGGAAAAGGCACCTGCCACAGACAGGCAAGCAAGTGGTGGGGGTAGGGGGTGATGGGAGGGAACCTGGGAACACTGGTGCTGGGAAACAGATACCGGTAGAGGGATGGGTGTTGGAATACTGTATGACTGAAGCCCAATCATGAACGGCTTTATAAGGGGCTATCTCACAGTGATAGAAAGAGCTATGCTTGGAATATCACGTTTCACTCAAATGAGAGAACGAATCCGGAGTTCTGACATCCGTTGACGATCAAGAATCAGGGACGCTGTCTCATTTGCCAAGGTGTCGAAAATCAGATGGGCTGGTCACGTAATGAGATTTACAGACGACTGCTGGACTAGAGCTGTTACCGACTGGATTCCACGGGATGTCAAAAGACCGCGTGGCCTCTCACCTACTAGATGATCAGACTTCTTCGTCAAGATCATGAACGATCGGTTTGAGGCCCTTTATGTTCCCGGAGCGAACAGATGCCATTGGGCTACACTAGCACGCGACAGGGACAAATGGAGACGTTACTGGCGCCCGCTCGAGCAAATTGACGACTAACGGGAAGTTAAATGATTAAGTGATTAAGTGATCTCACAGTGATTCATTAAAAAGTTTTAAAAAATTTTACTGTCAAACAAACAATCCTGAACGAACTGCGGTTTGGCTCAAGGTCCCTGGCAATTTGGCGAAGCCGCTAGCTCTGGAACTAGTAGGACTGGATGGGGGTGGGGGAAGAGGGGTCAGGGAAAAGGGCTGGGGGGGTATGGAGCTCTGAGGTGGGCGTGCCCAGAGGGTGGGGGGCGGCGCCCTGGGTGGACCCAGAACGCCCGGGAATCTGGGTGAAAGGGCGGCCGAGGGGACTCGGGCACCTCTCCCTCTCTCGGCTGGTAGCTGCGAGTCTTGGCTTTCAGCCTTGACTTTTGCCCTAACTAAACTGTCCAACACAAACAGTTTTCTCGTGTTGCCCGTTTGCTCAGACAGAAATGCCGATGGGGCCCGAAGTCAAAGGATGTCTTAACGGGCTTAATGCGGAGATTGTACATCTAGGGCAACCTCGACCTTGCCGCATGTTCCCAAGGCTGGCTATTTATGACTATCCACGTGGGTAGTGTCCTTGGAAATGAAGGTGCAAGATGAGCCTTCGGCTGCTCTTGTCCAGTTAAGAAGGGTAGAAGTAAAGAGTTGCCCCCAAATTAAACCCTGAATGTTGAGACTGATAGCTCTCCTGCTTCCCAGCTTGGGGGAACTGTTAAATTAGTCATTGTTTGGATGGGTCTTTGTGAAGGCTAGTAACAGCCCAAATGCAAGCCGGAAGCATAAATATTGCCTATGATTCCCAGAACTATTTTTTATTGCTACTGCCCTAGTTTTGGGGCCTTATCACTCCCCGCTAGACCTTTTTGCTTAGTTACCTTCTCCTGTTCATAATCTCGTTTCATTGTATTTAAGTTCTGTATCCTGTTATTTCCCTTCCATATGAAACTTGCATGTTGTTCTCTGGGCAAATATTTCTAAAGTTCCCTTTTTTTTTCTTTTTGAATGGTTCACTGTTTATTCAAAATGCCAAAGAAATTTCCAAAAGGGAGAATTTAGTTTGTGTGAAATCAGCAAGAAAGCTTCAAAGAAGTAGGTAGGTAACACACCTAGTGTGTTAGAGACCGGTGGCATTTGAGTATGCACATCTTCCCAGGTTTTTTGTCTTAACACAGAAAAGATCAACAAAAGAAGTATAAATCCAACCATATGCCTATCACCTAGAGTCAGAAATTGTTGGTATTCATCTCATGAGTGTGTGTGTGTGTGTGTGTGTGTTTGATAGTTTACTTTTTATCAGAATCTGGAGTGTTAGACACTGAAACATCTACATAACCGCAAATCCGTTATCATACACACACACACACACACACACACACAACTAAGTTATTCTTAAATGTCATTTGATATCAGGTCGATCTATAATTTCTCTAGGAGTAAGGACGGTAGGTCAAAGGGCTGGAACTTGACCCCTGGCACTCCTTGTCAGCCTGCCACCAGCAACCCAGCCTGGCTCTAATACCTGCTCCAGTTCCCTTCAGCACACCACCAGCCCAGGGCAGCCTGAGCAATGTATCATCAGCATTATCACCACACAGCTGGTGGGGAATGGCCTCTGGACCCCTTCAACACTTCTTGGTAGCTTCCTTCCCCCAACGAATTTCCCTAAAATGTCTTTTGCGTGTAGTTTGCTTTTTAAAAAATTTTTTTTTATTAGTGAGACACCATGAGGTACAGTTGTAGACTTACAAATTTTGTGCTTGGATTTCAATTATACAATGATCAAATACCCATTCCTCCACCAGTGCTCATTTCCCACCACCATGGATCCCAGTATCCCTCCCACTCCCATCCTCCCCATCCCACCCTGCCAGATTCTATTAATTGTGGAGAGTGGGGGCAATTCTCCCTCTCTCAATAAGCAAGTAAATAGTAAAATTAATATAGACAAGAGGAAGCAAAAAAGTTCAATAATGAAATATATATTTTTTATACAAGGGAGAGGCTCAGTTAAAAGCTAACTGAAAGGGCCCAGGAGATAGTATAGGGATTAAGGACAATTGCATTGCATGTAGCCAATCTTGTTTGATCTCTGACATGCTACGTGGTCCCGAGCATCATCAGCAGCAATTCCTAAAAAAAGAGCCAGGAGTAAACCCTGAGTATGCCTGATATGGCCCAAAAGTCAAAATTAAAAAGTGAACAAAGCTGACTTAAAACTTATAGCCTTCCACATCCAAAATAACAAAACCAACCTTTGCTGGCGCGGATGTGGCGAGAAAGGGACACTCCTTCACTGCTGGTGGGAATACCGACTGGTTCAGCCCTTCCAGAAAACAGTATGGATGATTCTCAAAAAATTAGAAATTGAGCTCCCATTTGACCCAGCAATACCACTCCTGGGAATATATCCCAGAGAGGAAAAAAAGTATAGTCGAAGTGACATCTGCACGTGTTTGTTCATTGCAGCACTCTTTACAATAGTCAGAATCTGGAAAAACCCTGAGTGCCCAAGAACAGATGACTGGTTAAAGAAACTTTGGTAAAGAAACAATGGAGTACCATGTAGCTGTTAGAAGAGATGAAGTCATGAAATTTACATATAAGTGGTGCTACATGGAAAGTATCATGTTAAGCGAAATGAGTCAGAAAGAGAGGGACAGACATAGAAAGATTGCATTCATCTGGGGAACATAAAGTAACAAAATAGGAGACTAATACCCAAGTATGGCAGAGATTAGTACCAGGAGGTTTGCTCCATGGCTTGGAGGCCAGCCACACATGCTAGGAGAACAGGCAGCTCAGATAGAGAAGGGAGCACCAAATAAAGGGTGTTGGGAGGATCCTCCCAGGATGGGAGAAGCATGCTGAAAGTAGGCTATAGACCAAACATGATGCCACTCAATGCCTCTTTTGCAAACCACAACACCCAAAAGGAGAGAGAGAGAACAGAGGGGAATGCCCTGCCATAGAGGCAGGGTGGGATGGGGGTGGGTGGGTGGGGGAGGAATACTGGGACCTGTGGTGGTGGAAAATGGGCACTGGTGGAGGTATTTGATCATTGTATAATTGAAATCCAAGCACAAAAATTTGTAAGTCTACAACTGTACCTCATGGTGTTTCACTAATAAAAATTTTAAAAAACCTTACAGCCTTAAAGAACTTCAGTTCACTTAATCACTTAAGTTCTTCTTCTTCTTTCAAAGAACTTCAGCTAAAAATGAAAAATGAAGAAAGTTGAAGGATAGGATGGGGAGTGGAAGGTCAATTATGGGGAAGGCACAATAAACAGGTCTATTTAACAAAATTTACGGTGTAAAAATTGTAATTTTTCTAATATATCTTAATTTATTACAAATTTTATTGTTATTCTAAAGATTTAAGTAACTTTCTTTTCTATTAACAAGAGACTTTAGTCTTCTTTGTAAAGATTATATCTTTTCTGTAAAGAAAAGAGAACAGTCTTAAAAATATAGTTTTTCCTTCAGTGAAAATCTTATAAAAAAAAAAAAGGCAACCTCCAGCTTTCAAAATCCACCCTGTAAAATTATCCCTTTGTCATAGTGACATATTCGATCTAGCCACTTTAGCTTCCCTACATAGTGCCTATGTCTTGCAGTTAAAGTTTAACTAATTGTATTTTGTCTAAAACAGTTGATAATTTTACCCTCCCCTCTAACCAAGTCAGTTACACTAAATGCCAATTTTGCTTTTGTATTGTATTTCCTTTTAAATCTGTACTTCTTATAAGTTGCAAGCTACTAAGGCAAATAGTTCAAATTAACCATATTTGACAAAGGGGATGACACTGAAGAGTTTCAGTGAAATGGTATCACCCTGCCGTACCCCTCTCTTGACATGGATGATCACTTCTTTGTAGAATGGTGAGATCCTGGTAGTGAATCCGTAATACAGCTCATGGAGGATCCTGATGTATTGAGTTTGAATGCCCTGATTGGCTAGGGCTTCAGTGACTGCTTCTGTCTCAACTGAATCAAAGGCCTTCTTTAAATC